ATCTGTCAAAATATATTATAACTAAATCTATAAATCCTTACGTAATTAGAAAAAGTCAGAAATGCCTGAAAAAGATTTACAATTACAAGATGTCTTATTTTCTTAATAAAAAAAACCTTATTTTCGTTTTTTAATATTATCTCGCTTGTTGTTAGAGATAAACCCAACAAACCCTATATGACTATGCTCAACAGGAAACGTTCTATCCAAATATGTAAAAATATACAGGGTGTTCCATTTAACTTAACAAAGTTAACATCCGCGGCCATTTTGTTTGGATTTCATTTGTTTTTCTAGTATCATTTTCGAAAAATTCATAAAAACTCGTGCAACTTTTATATTTAACATTTTTTTATAACTCTTAAAACAAAAAAGGTAAAGGGAGGGTCAAAATATAGTGAATCACCCTGTACAGGAACTTACAATCAAAATTTTCCTCAAACATCCATACAGATTTTTTTAATGAAAATTAATTAAAGACAACAATACACAATTTTATTTATAATTAGCATTGAATGGTAATAAAAAATTATAATAAATGTTCAAAATTTCGGCCATTTTGATTTAAACATAACTGAAGTCACTGAATATGTAATGTCTGCACGTTTACTAAAATTTTTTGCTGAATCTATTGAATTGCGTTTGAAATTCGAAGTCGCATATCATCTGCTGTTGTAGGAGGAGTTGAATAAACGATGTTTTTAACATAGCCACAAAAAAATCGCACGGCGTAAGATCGGGACTTCTTGCTGATCAATGAATGGACCCACCCCTGCCAATCCACCGTCCTCCATATTGATCATTTAGAAAATTTCTCACACGAGCAGAATTATGTGGCGGACACCATCATGTTGTAGCCACAAATTTTGCCTTACATTCAGAGGAACATTCTTTAGTAGAAGGCAAATCATTAATTAAAAAATGGTGATACATTTCTCCATTAAGTGTACCATTAAAGAAGTGGGGTCCAATCACCCTGTCTCCTAGTATCCCACCCCAAACATTTAATGCCCACCTATTTTGAAAGTTCCTTGGACGTATTAAATGAGAATTACTACATCTGCGTAGTGGTGGTTATTTCTTGAATTTGGAGACCCATTATTATGAAATGTAGATTCATCCGTAAAAAGTACGTTATTAAAAAAGTTCTTGTAAATGCCAATTTTATCCAGTGTCCATTAGCAGTACTGTGTTCGTAGAGCAAAATCTTCATTTGTTAGGTTCTGTACTTTTATAAAACGATAAGCATGATATTCATAACGTTTAAGAACTCTGTGCAACGAAAATCGGCTCACTTCGACTGTCGTGCTTAATTCTCTTTGACCAATTTGAGGGTTTTCAAGTACAGACAACAAAATCTCGGTTTCTTTATTTTCATCCAATACATAATTTACCCTTATGGGTTTCTTGTAGCAGACTGAAGAATTTTCAACAAACCTTTCTTTTACTCGGCGAAATGATCTAAGTGCAGGTTGCCTTCTTTGCGGTAAACGTTAATTGTAAATTCTTGCAGCCAGAAGACAATTTCCATTGCTTTCGCCAATTACATAAGCCATATCTCTAATTCGTCATTGGAAAAATTCATATTTTCAAATATACTGAAATACTGAAATACCACAGTACAGTAGAAGATTGACAGTGATGAATAATTAATTTGACATTCAGTTGCTAGGAAACGAAATGAAAATACCAGCCACAATCATAAAAATTGAGAAAAAATGTGACTATCTTCAAAACCGTTTGAAATAGACCCTAACATACCTTAACAAAATTGAAAGGAAATTAAATTTTGAATCCACCTGGACACAATCTAGTACATGGTTCCATTTGAAAAAATCAAGTTATCTGTGATTGAAAATTCAGAAATTTAGGCGATCATATTTGGCACATCCTTCGGCAGATATTAAAGGAGGCTAATTAGTTTGATAGCTCTGTTCATGTTTAGAACAGTGGTAAAAATTTCGTTTATCAACGATTCAAGAATGCAAAAATATATATGTTGTATTTAAAAAAAAACAAANCTCCTATACCTCTCTCTAAACCTTCGCTACACTCTCGGCCACTGAGACGCTGCCTCCAGCCTCCAGATCAGTAGTATATTATGCTCTAGTGTTTTGTAAATAGTTGCTCATTATTTTGTGGTGTTACCCTAACCTCTTAATAGAACTTTTTGCTTGTATAATAAAATTACAAAATCGAATTTACATGTTGAGTACTCTACCTACCATAGGGCCTTTCGATTGGGCAAAAATGCTATTAGTAGCTAACTTAGAGCAAGGATTTTATAAAATCCTTGAACTTTGAGCATATACTACTGGAGGCAGCACTCATCAGTGGCCGAGAGTTAGCAGAGGTTTAGAAAGAGAGAGAGGTATAGGAGGGTATTTGCTATCTCTCTCTAGCAGCGCGATTGCATGTTGCTAGAGATACACACCGCACCTTACAGCGCACAGAGAATCAGAAAAATCAATAATACTATGAATCAAAAGCTTAGTATTTTTCGAACCCTTGCATCTCGCGCGGTGCATGATGGATAAAGAAAAAATAATAAGCAGCATCTTCGTTAGAGGCGGTCTGGAATAAAAAAAAGCAAACCACCAGAATATATATTTTTTTTTAAATATGCAAATAAGTTAAATTTGAATATATTGTCTTTTGTAGTCAGAATACTTTTCAGTTTCCCAAATTTGAAACTGTTGTGAATTTTGTGTTTGCAGTCGTCGACGGCTGCTCTGCCAACAGCATCGGCTAGGACCTCCTCAGGAACTTCAGCAGACATTTTTGGAAACATGAAAACGTTAATTTGTCCGTTGCGATCTCTGCTTCTTGAAAGGCAGTTTGTGTCCCTTTGGACTTGGGTTTCTATTTTGGCCAAAATTGGCCCTGGGTAGAATGATTGGAAACAGCAATAAGTGGAAGAAAATCAAACGGGGAAAGGCATCAAAGATGTTGCAAATTTGCATAAAATCCATGTCAAAATATTCAGGCGTGATCTATATCAAAACACCCATGTATGGATGTTTTATATATAGTACTGCAGTAATTTCGGAAAGCATATCTTCTATTTCATCATCAAATTGGTATATAGTATATATTATTTGCAGAAACCTCCAGTTCGTGATCTTCTATTTCTTTATCTGAAGATGTCTCCTCCTCAGTCAATTTTTTTTCAAAAATCTGGATTGCAAAATTATTACTCGAAAACTATCGAACCGATTTTAACGAAAATTGGTGTGATGTTTTATTATATCAAAAAGATTTTTTTGGCCAAGTATTAAGATCCTACCTATAATATAAGTACTTTTAAAAAAATCGCAAAAATATTGTTTTTTCATTTTTTTTTGTTTGCTATATTTTCAATAATTATGTTGTATTTTTTATTTTGAAAATATGTATATCGTGTAAAATTTAATTACGAATCTTTTTTCCTCTTCAATTTTTCTCTAAAATGAATAGTTATTGAACTGTGTTGAAAAAAAAAGAAAAAAATGGAATTTTTTCCAATTTTTTCACGATTTGTTTAATAACACGTTTTGAAGCGCGCGCATAGTGAAATTATGTTTTGTTATATAATTTTGGGGCTTAAAGCAAAAATTAGCGATACTATATAAAACATCTACACCAAAACAGATCCCGCCTGGTCTATATTTAGAAGTTACATGTTGAAAAAAAAAAATTTTGGTAATAGAGCTCAGAAACAGTATAATTGATTATACTGTGCTCAGAAACAAATCAACATTTATTGTATATTTTTTGGTTATGTTATAAGGTCATTAAATTGCATTTTTTAGAGATAATTTGAATTTTATATTGGATCTTGAAAAATACTAAATGGTGCAAAATTATCAAAAAAATTCTATATGTAACTAAAAATATTGACATATAATTTCTTGGAAGACTAACTTTTCATTTCAATTTTAATTTATGCAAACTAATCATGTTCAGACTGATTTGAATTAAATTTTCAAATAAAGTTCTATACTTACTTTTCTAGTTCCATGAATTTAAAACAAATATTAATATGGTGTAGTTAAATTATGCATATTTACAGTTAAATAACTTACTTTGATTTTAATGAAATACTTCTATAGCATTACCTAATAAACTAGAAATGGGCAGAAAATAAGAATTAAATAATTAGGTAATTGCTATTTTATCAAATAAAATATATTGCTGGCTTTGGAATCAAGGCATTTTCCATTACAGGATATGGGGTAAGCGTGCCAATCCAAGACACACGAATGTAAATGCAGCAATAGTTGAATATTGAAATAACTACCTAAGTATGTGTAGTGCAGCTGCGACACTATGAAGGCTGTCGGTGCTGCATACCAGATTTCTCATCCCTACTGTAGTTCTACCATTTTCAGATTCATTAATTTAATAACAGTAACTATGTTTTTATACATTTGTAGTCTTTACTTTTTGAGATACACATTTTACCTCACTGTAAACAACACAATTATTAAAAAAAGCTAGTAACTGAAAAATTGTAATTTCTTAATTTTTAAAGTTTAAAGTGGCAGAAAAAAACTAGCAAGTTTGTAATCTTGTTCATTTAATTGCAAGTCGGCAAATTGACGTCGTTTTCAAACTGATAATTTGTTCAAAATAGTATCCTACCTACGACTTTACACCTATATGGCTTACTTAGACTTATCCGACTTAATTCATAATCATCTAAGGTTACGTTGGGATTATTTTCCTGCCAAAGCAATTTTCGTTAAATACTAGGCTCATCATTATATAGTTTTGCACGATGATCTGTGAACTACCTAGATCCTCCTTTTTATTTTTAAAAAAATATTTGAACAAATTTTCTTGTAAATTTTTAATACCCCCTATTCAGTGCTTTTACTTATTACACTTATCACTCATCAATATAATTAATCACTTTCAAACCTAAACTGAAATGGAATTTTTTCCTATGACCTTTCCCACAAATCCTTTAAATTAATTTTTTAAAATCAAATGTATTTACTTAATTTTAAAAACAAATATGTACTAAAAAAATGTAATTAGGTACATAAAAAAAAGTTACACCTATATTTTATGCTTATACTAATAATCGTTCAATTTCCTGCTGGATAGTTTGTATTTGTGGCTTCAATTGAGAACCCTCATTGATAGTAACACTGCAAGCAATTACTGATCTAGAAACACCACAAGCACGTCCCAGAGCTTGTTTTGAACGAATGAACACATAAGGCACATTCTTATCTTCACAGAGTAATGGTAAATGTAAAAGTATCTCTAATGGTTCTGCATCAGCAGCCATTACAATAAATTCAGCAATACCTCGGTTAAGTGTCTTAGTGACTTCATTAGCGCCCTTTCTCAGTTGTTTATAACTCATCGCCTGTTGAACTAAATTGAGAATTTTTGTCGTTAAAGTAGCATCTGCCAACGGATAAGCTTTTGGATTTACTTCTTCAGCCTAAAAACAATGGGGTCTATTACTGAATTAAAGGCAGGTTACCTCATTTTACCATTTTTGAATTTTCAGAAAATATAAGAGCAGAGTAAGTTTCCTCTCGGCGAATATTTCGCTTCACGGAGGGATTAAGAAATTAAATTAAATACTTTTTTCATAAACATAAATACGCACAAACACGTGTTTTTAACCGGTATAGCGGTATAGAATGGAATGGAGAATTGGAGACGTCAGATGTCAAAACTCATAAATTAGGCTGCGTTCAGCGAATGGTCACAGAAGATAAAACAATGGTGTGATCTTTGTTGGGTTTTGGGATAAGGATTATGTTTGCTGTTTTCTAGCGGCTAGGGAAGTGTCTTAGTCTAAGTGTCGCGTTTGTTATGTTTAGTAGAGAGAGCCATGAGGCCCTTGTACGTGTGGTAGTCGTTTAAGTGTCGTGTTATGTATATTGTCGGGTCCGGGGCTTTTCTGTTTTTAAGTCTGCGTATTATCAGTCTTAGTCCGTCAGGAGTTGTGGGGTGGATTATGTCATTGTCTGGCTCTCTGTCGACGCGTCGGGCCGTGCGCACAGCCACTATCTCGAATTCCTCGTCTTCGTTGGGCAGCTGAGGCAGTCTACACTGCAGTTCCAGGCTATCGGCGAAAGCCTCGGCCTTTTCTTGGTTTGTGTAAACCACTCCCCTGCTGAAGTGGATTGAAGAAATCTTACGGCGAGCGGTCTGTCGCAGAGCCTTCTGCGATTTCCAGAGGCTCCAAACTCAAAACACAGAGGCCGTGGCTATAGCGGTGAGATCGCTACGGCATGGAGACGTTGCGGTGGTGTCCTGTTACCACCTACCCAGATTACCACTACTTGACAATGACTAGACAAAATCTTTTCCTGGCCCCAGACAATTGCCATCGGGGACTTCAACTCGAAGTCCCCTATATGGCACAGCAGGACGACGACCACAAGAGGTTGCGTCCTACTGAACAGATTACGGACCCGTAGGACGCCCCGACGTCATCGACATTTGCTTTCTTAAAATCTATACCGTTAAATGCCCAAATATCCACCCAACACGAAGGGTATTCCGCCCACAATCCAATAATTCTGGATCTGGGGCGAAGACAGAGATATGAAGGCACCTTCACGAGGAGATTCACTGACTGATGGATGGGAGCGCTTCCGAGCAGTAATTCAAGGAAACATCGCGCTCCCAGTCATCGAAATCACCCGTGACCTGTAGGCGGCAATCCTCTCCCTTGAGACTGACATTAAAAACGCCCCGTCTCAGACTACGACAGAAACTATTGTCCCCCGACTGACAAACCCCCGGGGCACCCTCCCCGATGACATAAAAAACTTAATACGTGACAGACGACGTGCGAAACGGCTTCCCTCGACATTTATACGTACAAAGCGCCTACAACGGCCGCATTTGCAGTCAGGGTAGACGATGGATGGGGCCCATCTACGAATGTTGTCCAGGCCTACACGATAAAGAGGGATAATCCCCCTCGATCCCAAATCATTGAGGCCAATTTCTAGCCATGGAATAATGGCGCGAAGCCATATAATACTCTCTCTGGCTCTCTTTTTGTAAATAATGACAAAGGACAGTAGAATGATTTTAGTTGAGCTGTTGAGTTTCCTATTTAGCAGACGACGCAATTAGGGGATTGATTGGACCAAATTTGTTTCACTTTTACATTTTTTGTCACTTAAATAACGATATATTGTAAAAAAATACAGGTCAAGTTTTTTGCCACATAATTTTTTAATGATAATATCTGAAAGGGGGGCGTACACCCTACTTCTACTTCCATGCAGTCGAGGTGGAACCTAAAATCTAAAGAAACGCGTATGCGGGGAGCCTCGAATCAAATTAAATTTGATTATCTAAACTTTTGTTACTGCCGTCAGGCCTCCCTATCGGTCATTCATGTTCACGATAACACTAAATGACGTCACGAATTGGCGTGACAGAAAACACCCGGTTACAATAACACTTATTTTGCTTGTCAAACTTTATTAAAATTAACATCAGAGATTTCTTATATTTTCACTAGGATAAATGACATGTATACTAGATGCTTCAGTTCACACCAGTTGCGACCCAACACAACACAGCTTATTTATATGATTGGGACAGGGGCGGATCCAAGATGAGGGCAAGGGGTGCGATTGCTCCCCAATAGTCCGAATTTTTTTTTGTTACAAATAAAACAACAAAGAACCAACTATAAAATAAACCCCAAGAGCTGCATACCCCACAATATTATAAAACCGTCTAGAAATCGAAAATAGAATAAATTGATAAAGATAAAAATTTTCTGTTTAAAAACGTCTCAATTTTCTTGATTGATTTTCTTGTAAAATTATAAATACTCGAGGGAAAAAGAACGTCAATATTTATTAAAATTATTTTTATTATTGAATCGATATGGAAAATTATTAACTCATCACAATATATTTATTTCAATACTGGCCAAGCCATATTAACCCAGTTTTCTGTCCATCGCAATTTCTGGAATGTATGAAGCTCTGTTTTAAATTGGGTCTCTTTTTCTTGTTGTTTTTCATTATGCGGAAAATTTTCAAACCACTCTTGAAGCTGCTCTGACAATCCCTCAGCAGAAGTGAATTTATATCCATTTTTTCCATGTTTTACTAATTCGCCAAGACTACAATGGAAAAAAATATAAGAATACCTACTGTATGTATTTTGTGCATATAGAAATGAGATAAAATAAATATGTAAGCAAAAAAAACACTTGGAATTAACCGCATTCAACACGAATAGAAAGACATTAGTTTTGTGGGGTTCATCGTAGGTGTTATTGGCTTATTCTTTTCTTGAAATTCTTAACAAATACGGACTGTAATACAGGGAGTTCCACTTAAGAGGGATTCTTCTGTAACTCTGTCACTGTAAAATTTATAGAAAAACGGTGACATTTAATTTGCTTCGTTTGTCAAACAGTGCAATAAACATTGTTTGCAAGGCCTTCTTGATGCTGTTACATAGCTGCTTTTTCGGACTTTAGCAGAGAACCTGATTTTTCTGGAAAACTGTTAAGAGAGAAGTATGGACAACCCTATATCAGTAGCGGCATAGCATGCGTTGGCACCCGGGGCGGTTTTATTGAGTATTCTCAAAATAAAAAAACAAATACTAAATGTGCTTACGTGACTTTTTTTTGCTAAAATATTCGATCACACTATTAAAATTTATCTTTCTGCCCTTTTCAATAGACAAAATGGGAAGATTGCTTAGTCGCTCGTTGTGAATCTTAAGCAAGATTTTATTAACTTTAATTTTGAGAATCTTCTTTCACACGAAGCCACCGAATAGTTAAAAAAATCTTAAACACAGCGCTAGACTCGGAACAGACTCAGAATAGCCCATTTTACAATGAATCTCAGAAGCTCCAAGGTAGACCACCGGACCGCTTCTTGGGAAGAAATGCTAGCGGTTTCCAAGTGGCACCTCAGTCGTAAATTCTCCAAAATTATGTCCTCTGCAGAAAATTCATCATAGATTTTTGTCAGATTTGGAACTATACCACAAAGTTCTTCTTCTGTTGACATAAGCAGAGTTTTAGGCTGACCAATACCAAATGTTATGAAAATGTCATCCGTTGCCCTATAACGATGGTCTAGTTCTTTGTAAAATCTATCAAAACATTCTAATATAGCTCTCTGCAGCGCTTCTGGCAATGTTAGTCCAGCATCTTGGGCCATTTCTCCTGGCATACGTTTTCGCAATCTCCTCCTTTCTCTTCCTTCAATCAAAATATTCATGTTCTCACATTTTTTAGTTGCGTAGGAAATAACTCTCCACTATTTGAATACGTTGGCTTTGAAGAAAAATGTTTAGGGCGTTGTTTTTCATCTCACACTTTTCCAGCGATAGCTCAGATGTTTGTATATATTTTTGTGTCTGGTTAACTTCTTCTAGGATTTCACACTGAAAAGAAAGATAACATAAAAAACTGAAGTCACACAAAGCTAGTAAAACTGCGGATGCTGCTTCTCTTGTATCGGCGTTTTCTCTGTTGATGCTGAAATCACACATCTCTTCGAGTGTTGATACAAGTTTCTCGCAAGAAAGTTTTAACTGTCTACTAACTAAGGAGCGCGAGTAAGTTGTCACCCCTTGGTGTTTGGCACCCGAGGCGGATCGCCCCTACCGTCACCCCTTTACGCTGCCACTGCCCTATATCAGTCGAAAGGCCATTCAATTTTGCATGATAATTAATATGAGTCATTCCATTTGAAAAAAAAGTTTGTCAACTCGTAAGATTATTAAATTTGGGTCTCAGTATTTCCGAGTCTGAATAACGAGCTCGTGATGACAAGTGTTCCATTTAAAATAACAAAGTTATGTAGCTTCCACGGAAATGGAACACCCTGTAAAGCTAAAAATATTTTCTTTACTTGGTCCACGTGATTCCCGGCAAATTTTATTAAAACCATTTTTTTTATATATTTTACAGTTTACGGAGTTACAGAAGAATTCCTCTTAGTTGGAATGCCCTGTATATAGATTGGTTTTTAAATAGATGATTATATGATTTTAAGAAAAAAACTGTATGAATGTATGTCCTAAACAGTCTAGTTCTTGAAATGTGTTAAAGTTTTTGAAAAATATCGCACACAAATGCCTAAGTATTTAATATAAATTAATTACACTTGGATACAATAGAAGCAGACAAAATTATTGAAATCTTAGAATTTCAATGCCACTAAACAATATTTTGGAAATTCAGTTAGTCCATTTGATTTCCCACTGTATTTCAAAGAAGAATTATTTCTTCCACTTCATTTGAAAAATTAATTATTTCCAGTTGAATCCGAAATAACTCTAAAACTGTCGTTAACAAAAACTGTTAACTGTTTAAAATCTGTAAATATTAATCGCATAGAAACTTTGCCAGAGGCAGCACTATAGGATGTTTTCCAACTTTATAACTATATCACAAAACAAAAAGTTAAATTCAATCTTTATTTATTTTCAGACATGTAGATGTACCTGACAAGGGTTCATTTGTCTGTAGTTGCCATTTTCAACATGGTAATAAACAAAAAAATTTGCCTAAAATATTTTCATTTAATGAGGAGAAAAGTTTGGCATTCATCATTTATCTTCAGAGAGGAAGACACGAAAAAGAAAGCTACATGAAGAATATAATAAGTCACAACGTGCTTTTCAGACATTCTGCAAAAGCAAAAGAACTTGGTAATGAACAAAAAGTGTTGATTTCAGTATAACTTATTTGGGGGTTAGGAAGCGATTTTTCTGATACATTAATATGTTTCTAATAATCAAATTACTTTTGTTCTATGTATATCTATTCAAAAGTACATTAAACACAACATTTTTAACAGGTTTATAGTTGATTTAAAATATTAGCAATTATTCTGCTACACACAGAACACAGAATTCGATTGTTTGGATAAAGGCCCCTGATCTATCCCAAAAATGGCGTCCTGTGACGTTTTTAATAATTGCGCGTATATGTTTTTGATCGGACTAACCGGCTGACCAACTGGCCTTTCAAGGCGCACGCACCCTAAGCAAAAAACCTACCTACGCTCATGGTCTTCCAGCACCTTGCTTACTGACTGTCATAACTGCCTACAGATTCAGTAAATATTTATATTTACTAAAAAAAAATTAGATATAATGTATATGATAAAAAATAGTACATTGTGTAACGAGTGGGGAAAAGTTGCCAATAGCGCCACGAGGTTTCATAGCGCAACGCTCCAGCGTTGCGCTATGAAAATAACATCACGCTGTTGTACTATCTAGCACTTTCCAGTGCACCTAACCCCCTACACTATAGGTCCCATAGCGAGCTCGCGTGATAGAAATACACTTAAAACATAGGCATAACATTTTTTTTTTATAAAACTGGAAAAGGACTAAGGAGATGCTTAAAATGAAACTGGCACAAGGAAAGTCCTATATTAATGCTCAAAGAACTTGTGATCAACAACTTGACTTATTTTCTTGTAATACCCTGTATATTTAATATGGTTTGAATTCATTGAAACAAATTTTATTAGACATTTTTCAGTGAGATTGATAAACATTTTGACATACATACAATTCCATTCCTGGTGAAAATTAAAGTGATCATGGAAAAATTTTCTTTAAAAAAATCTTATCAAATAAAATGAGACAATGTTCTTCAATACCAGAATCTAGATATTTAACTCCGCAGACAAGACTCTTAACTGCTGATCTTACAGAAAACTACTACTCTATGGATTACACGCCTCAATTAGCATTGAATTATATCACAATACACGTAATAAATAATTATCCAAAACAAAAACTAAAAATAATATATCTGAACATAATTAACACAAAAACACATACCTGATATATTGAAATTGAAATAATGCAAATCAAAAAAATATCCTGTATTCTTGCCGTTCTATTATCACCCTTAATTGAATTACCTTAATACCTTTAAATTAGAATGCGCTGGGTGTCCGTCTTGTTGGAAGTAAAGAAAAAAAAACAAAGTTGGCTGATCAAATTGAAAATTGACAATCTGTCATAACTTTTACTTCTCAATAATTTTCTTAAGTAAATATTTTTGATATTTTTAAAAACAAAGGTACTTTACTCTTGACAATTTTTGAAAATTCATTGTAAAAACACCCTGTACATTAGTTAATTGGACACATTTTTTCAACTTCTTAGTTTAAGGTCAAGCAAAAAAAAAATAGTATAATTTTAATTTTAGTAATTACCATTTGAAATCATAAGCGCAAACAGGCAGGCCACAGCCAAACATGTCCACAACCTTCATGGGTAAGTCTAAACCACTAGAACTTGTATGCAAACATACTCCCAAGTCAGCCGAGGCTAACATTGTTGGGTAATCCTTGGATTCTAACCAGGGGGTAATAATGGATATATGTTGCCAATTTCTCTTTGCAATATTTTCACTGTAATAAGATTTTAAAGGGCCTTTTCCTGTTATAAAGCATATTAGGTCAGGTAACGTTTTCTCATTTCCATTTAAAATATGATTCTCATAATCTACAAATATAAAACATATGACAAATTTGAATACTTACATTCTGATCTTAACAATATCTCTTCACTGAACCAGCAATACAAGTTTTCTCCAGGGTATAAGATAGTTTACAAGCTGACAATACATTCAGAATATGGAAAAAAATCATATTTTTACATCTTGTTTTCTATAATCTTTCACTATGAAAATTAAAAGAATCCTTATATTTCAACATTTTTATAGTTTAGTTATAATGGATTTTCTTGTTCTATCATTGTCTTACTAAAAGTACGATTTCTTGTCTATAAAACACCAGCTTTAAAGTAAAAATGCAAAAAACGTTTCGGTTATAAATCAATACAAATAAATATTTATAGTATCATCCTAAGTATGTCACAATAAAGCATTAGAAACTGTTTTTCATATTTTAATGTTTGCTAGAAATTAAATAACTATTTAATAAATAGTACGCGAAGCACAAAGGCTCCATCTATCGCGCTGACTTCCACTATGCCATTCAAATAGCTACTACGGTGGAAGCGACCTGCTAAAATTTGCCAGGTACTTTATTGCACGAATGTCGCCTATAGAGGGCGAAACACAATGTAAGTCGTCAGTGCCGCGAAAAACAACTACTACGAGGGCTATTTGCCCCTACCGGCATTGAATTACATTCGCGACACCTAGTACAACAGCTAGGATCGTTCATCAGCTGGAAGGTTGGATAGGTTGTCCTACCTATGACACACTAATGAGGACTAATAAGTCCGAAACCAGTTTGTGCCTGGTGGGACCAGCTGATGAACGATCCTAGCTGTTGTACTAGGTGTCGCGAATGTAATTCAATGCCGGTAGGGGCAAATAGCCCTCGGAGTAGTTGTTTTTCGCGCCACTGACGACTTATTTAATAAATATTTAATATATATTTAATAAATATTAAGAATAGTCATATCTCATATTTTACCTTGTAGCGCTGTTAGCAAAATAGAAAAATCTTCATCCTCCGTCCAACTTGTACTAGAAACAATAAGTCCAGGTCTGTCCTTTTTTAAATAAACTTCATTATTAACTTCTTTCGTGAACAATGTTGAATTATCATCAAGAGTCAAATTTTTATAGCTTTCTCCTAAGTGCTTTAGGAATGCATGTTTTTGTTTTAATGTTATTGGTTGAAATATTTTAGGTGGTTTATCATACAAGGTGACGGCACTACGAAAAATAAAAATTTTATTTGTAATTGGTAACTGTTAACATACAGCAACATTAATTCTCCTTATTTCAGTGCATTATTCTGATTAGTTTGGTGTATAATTTGCCATATTAAATATCTTACTGATAATAAATCATATTTCTATGCACCCTTCCAAATAAAAAAAATTGACTTCATTTTTCTTACAGCCCTCGTTGATTACTGACAGCAGTATTTGGGGAGATTTAACTCTAATTAAATTTCAGTTTTTGTTAAATTTACAATTGATTTAAATATGGTACGATTTAAACCAATTTACCCATGTCAAGGTCTTCTGCCCATTTCAATTTAATCGTAAAAAATATTTAATTGAACTAAATATTCGGCTGTACCAAACTCATGACTAGTGAAAATCAAAGTTAATTTTTGTCTGGAAAAGAGTGTTTTAGCGACATGTAACCGGTATAATTTTTTATAGTCAATAAATTGGGGCTTTTAAAAATATCTCAGTTTTCTCACAATCTCTACCACAAAAAAAATATAGCAAAAAGCAAAATACTCTATTTATACAAAAAATTTGCTCATATTCTTCAAATTTCATTCTAAAATTTTTAAAATGACGAAACCAAAAATTTTTTTGTGAAGGTCAATAACTTCTCAAAGGAAACAAAATTGTACTTGATTTAAATCGGTTTTTTCAGATAAAAAAGCTACTCATTAGGTATGGCTCATTCGTTCTTGGATACCCCGTATATATTTAATAGCAACATTGCAAATTTTCAGGATAGACTTTTGGTCAAAATAAGCAAAATTGAAACAAGGGAAATATTTTTTCAAAGGTTGGACCTGAAACATTGTTTCGTTAGATATAAATTTAAAATTCGGTTAATATAGGTATAAGGAATTAGAGAGGTTTTAACCTTTAGAGCAAGGGTCGGCAACTGGCGGACCGCGGTCTAGGTCCGAACCGCGGAAGGTAAAATACTAGACCGCCAAAAATTTTTTAAAAATATAAATTACTCAAATAAATTATTTAAAAAATGTTATTTACGTTTAATTGCCAATCTTATCATTTTTTCTAGTATTTTACAATTGTGTGAGTGTTTTGAGTTCTTAATTAGTAAGCAGATTAAATTTGAGTCCAAATCAAAATAAAAAAAATAAGAAATATGAATTTTTTCTGGACCTCGTTAAAAATTTTCAAAAGTATCCGGACCGCACCTAAAATTACTTGCCGACCCCTGCTTTAGAGCAATACTAATTAAGAAACCTTTTTTCTTTGATACCATAGGAGAACGAGGCAGACTTGTATCCATAAGACCATGGTGGGGCGATGATGAATACAACATTCGGCTTTTGTGAAATTTTTCATTTTTGTTAAGGTTATAACATTATAAAAAATATATAGTTAAATTAAAAAATTAAAATTTAAATAAACTACAAAGAAAATTTAATTGTCAAAAATGAAAAAAACCGCTGTATCTATGGGTTGATTATGGAAAAAATATTTTTTACCAATATGTGCATCCCCTTTTCAGATCTCAAGGTAGGCAAATTTATATCAGTCTTGCAAGTATTCAAATTATCTTATGCATATAACAATGCACAATTAATGGATATTGTTTTAATTTATTTCGAAGGAAGACAAAATGCATTAACAGCTTCTTGCTTGCATGCAGAACTTTTTCTACAGTCTTTTGATTTCCTACCTATCTGAGATTTTTGATAGGCACTGCTTATTTAAACATATACAAAGTGTTCTTGAAATATATATACCAACAAGCCACCATAAATTCTTGAAGTAAAATATGACGATTTAAACTTATACACAAAATTTTCTAACATTACGAGAGAACTGTTTCAGCTAGAGACTTATTTGGTGCAGGTCTGTTTATTTGTGTAATATATTTTTTGAACATGAAAGAAAATGTCAGGGCGACATTTTCTTGGAGGACCCACCCCTTGATCATTTCATAACAATTCTCTATGAGCCTACACAGTGCCTAATATTAGGCTTATTGTGAATACTGGTGTTCTCATTCGCAGGAGTGAATTATTTGCATTAAATTTTAAATTTGTATCAGCACTCTTTGTGCAAATTTTTTGCAAATATAATTATATACTGAGAATTTCATATGAAAATGTTTTATTTTTATTTTCGACCAAATTTTATTTGGATAAAAACTGGTGATACAAATACAATATGTTTTTCCTTTTGTTATATAAAAGCAATATGTTTCTAGCTCCCTTTATAAATAAACTTTATAATTTCTGAAACGGGCCTTATAAAAAATTTGTTTTTAATTTCTTAGCGATAAAATATTTTAATGAATTTCAATATGGAAGCATTTTTGGGGTAGCGTATTTCAGTTAAAAACCAGTATCTACAAAATATAGGCTTTTGAACGTAGAACTGCAAAATTAAATACACAGAGTGTAGGGAAGTTCGTTTAAATCGTAAAAATATTCAATTCCATTGCAAATTTATCAAAAAAGTGAAGTTTAATAAGAATACCCCCAACTACTCAGCTGCCCATAACTGTTGTAAAAAATTTATACATTTTTCTTTGGAAAAGTGCATTTTAGCGACATACAAGTAAACTTTTTTAAAAATAAATGATCTTGGCATATTTCTGTTACTGTGCTTGAATTTACCTACCTTATGTTCCAGTTTTCAGATAAATCATTATTCATAGCGTTTGTAACACAAAAGTTATTATCTGCCTTTCTTCCAATAAATAATTCGATCTTCTTAGTGAGTTTGACTAACGGATGGTGTTTATGAAGACTTAAAGCCATTATAGTATGAGCATAGTTGTGCCAATCAATAACAAACTTTGATCCCATCGTTTTACAGTAAAACCAACAAATAGACAGAGTTGGTATTGCTGGGGGATTCTGAACTAGTAGTATATCAGGTTTTCTAATAACAAAAAGTAGAAACAACAAATTTATTGCTTGCCAAATAGTCTTGAAAATATAATTCACAAATTTCAGTGAAATACGAGGACAAGGCAATAAATAATGATAGTATAACAAAGGAGCAGTTTTTACTTCTTCCATAGGTTCAGTTTCTCCATATCCAATAATGTCCACTACATATCCCATTTCTGCTAAAGATAGGGAATGATACTGCATTCTAGGACTTCTGCCTATATCTCCCAAAACAACTACACAAGCATTCTTCTTTACGTCTTCCATTTTCCATAAAAGTATCGTTTACTAATGGTAATAAAAAACACAAAAACTTATTTACGATAATTTTTAGTTAAACTACTAAAAATAATGTAATGAGAAAAGGTAGAAATTTAACTAACACAAAATAAAATGTATACCGGTATTATCATTCAAGGGAGATAAGCAGATAAGGTCCTAGGATAAGGTTATATTTCATATCCTGAACTAATAAATTACTCATCAGGATCAGGGAACTTAAACTCATAGATTTGATAATATAATAGCTTTGTTCGTAAACCTTCCACTGCTGCACTAGTGTAGTAATACGTTGTTCGTTTATTGCAGTGCAGCCAAATGCAGGTATAATCCAGGTGTTCGAAAAGTCCAGTGTAGTGTAATAGTGCAGACACTACTACACTGGCTAACAAGGTGGTGTAAAAGTGTAGTGTAGTATATTTGTGGCGCGAAAATGAAACTTTTATCACAAATGTCACATCTTGGTAGATATTTTAGATAGATTAGATTAAAAATTTGGCAATATTTCATTTTACTCTGAAATGGCTGATAAATTCGTCTTCCTCACAGTTTCTAACAAGTTCTATAAAATTTGTAATGCACTTTCTTTTATTTTTTTTGGAAACAGGTCTCCAATAAAACATGAATTTTTCTTTTTTTACGAAGGTAATCTTCATCATCTGATTCCGATTCGCTTCCAGAGTCACTACATAATTCACTCATCAAAACTATTTTCTCCATGATTTACAATTAGGTTATGCCAGTTTAAGTTTACCCAAATTGAATTAACGAACAGCCAAATGTTTTCTCTAAAAGTGGTGCACAATTATTATTTTAGTGTAACACTGAATTCCACTACAGTACACTACACTACACTTTGTGTCGGTTTACGAACAAAGCTAATAACACAAAACAGGTATAATCCATTATTCCATGGCTAGAAATTGGCCTCAATGATTTGGGATCGCGGGGGATTATCCCACTTTATCCTGCCTCATCTCGTGTAGGCCTAGACAGCCTTCGTAGGTGGGCCCCATCCGTCGTCTACCCCGACCGCAAATGCGGCCGGTGTAGGCGCTTTGTGGGACCTCCTTTTGTCCTGGCTGGGCCCCGCCGGCTAGGGCCCTTTCTTCTGGCGCTCTTCTTGCTTCGCCGGCTCGTCTGTGTAAACCCCGGGGGTAGTGTCATGTTTATGTGTGGTATGGTTGGGTAGGGTAGTGCGGCTATGCAGCCTGGGATGCGCTTTGCTAAGGTGGCCCTTAGGCTAGCGCGGGAGGGGAGGG